GTTCTTTTTTTAAATCTCTTGTAGGCTGCTCTATTATTCTACAGACATGTTTTACATGCTGGTTTGAGTCACTTAGCTCTACCAAAGCATCCCTCACTTTATAAAGCTCTTGTCCCATTAAAAGACTTAGCAAAACCACTAAAGCTCTATACCATTCTCGAGGTCCTAGTTGAATTAAGCTTTCCTTTATATCTCTGGTGAACACAGTCTTATCTGGCCCAGCAAATTGGGCATTATATATTGCTTTTCTCATACCTAGTTCTCTCAGTAATGCCTGTCCCTCTTTTATAGTCCTCCAGCCCCTGCTAATCATGGGAGCCTCCATTGGTGATGACCATGTATCTTTAATACCTTGCACAAGCCATTCCATTAGGGACCGCTCCTCCTGTGTTGGCCTAGGTCAAACAGTCTATGTCTCAAGGACAGATGGATGGTTATATAAGTCAGCTGTGAACCTTCTAAAGGACTTAAACTGACATTATTTGCTCCTATGTCCCATACCCTCATGAGCCATGTTGTGAGGGGTTCTTTGATTGCTTGTTAAAGTTTTTCCTAGTTTTTTTTTTAAACTTTAAAAAAGAACTCCATTTCATTATTAAAATACACAGTTTCATACAGAAAAATTCATTTTCAATGCAATTCACATTAAGATGTTGACACATGTGTTTCTAATCTCTGTATATCTGATTATAACAAGTGACAGTCGGTTACTTTCTGAGCTCCTTGGCATCAGAGCATGGATATAAAGTCATCAGGTAGATTTCAATGGTAGTGTTTTTCATATCTACTAATTCTTCTTATTTTTTTAATCATTGTTTTTCAAATTTTTAATAACTACATGATTAGAAGCATTTCACTACAGATTTAACATAGTCAGCAACACACTTCAGAGCAAGAGTACATCTTTCACAAGTGGATGCAAGTTTCTAGGTTCACGGTTGAATTAATACAATTATACAATATTGAATGCAGTATAAGCCCTGTAAGACATAAAATTGAATGAATTTTTAACCTTTAAAAAAGATCTCCATATCATTTTAGAATATATTGTTCCTTGCAGAAAGACTCATTGTTTTTGCTACTAACACTGAGATGTCAGCACATGCATCTCTAATCTGTATGTATCTGATTATTACTAGTCATGGTTGGTTGCACTAAGATCCTTGGCACCTGTGTATGGATATAAATCATCGGGTAGATTTCAATGGTAATGTTTATCACCTCTACTACTTAACGTGATGTAAATTTTTATGCTTCCTCCTCAA